TTCAGTCTACTTGATCAATAGAATGCCTTGTAAAACTCTTCATTTCAAATCTCCTTATTTCTTATTGTTTGGTTCTGCTCCAGCCATTACTCATCTAAGGGTATTTGGTTGTGCTTGCTTTCCTTTGCTCAAGCCTTATAATACAAACAAACTTCAGCCTAAAACTTCTACTTGTGTCTTTCTAGGCTATGCAGGACAATATAAAGGCTATATTTGTTTTTCTCTCACTACCAATAGACTGTTTGTTACTCGACATGTTCTTTTTGATGAAACTGTGTTTCCATTCATATCTGTCCATCCAGTCAGTATTTCTTCATTTCAGTCTCTCACTTCCTCTTCTCCTCCTCCATCTATTTCATTCACTAATACTGTTTTATCGCCTATCCCTTCTCTTTCTGTTTCCTCACCTTCCCCACCCATCTCTGAAGCCGTTGCACCTTTGAATTCTTCTCCTTCTGCTACACAGTCTCCTCTCCCTGTGGATCCTGATTTTCAGCCTGAAAGTCTTCGTGTTATCTTGCCTCTGCCACCTGTAAATCTGCATCCTATGACAACAAGGTCTAAGAATGGCATCTCCAAGAGGAAGGTTTTTTCTGCTTCTTCATCTGTTGATTTATCTACAATTGAGCCAAGTTCCTTCAAGGTTGCCTCTCAATCACTAGAATGGCAATCTGCAATGAGGGAGGAAATTGAGGCTCTTCATGCTCAAGGTACTTGGGATTTGGTTCCTCTCCCAGCTCATAAGAATCTTGTTGGTTGTAAATGGGTTTATAGGATCAAGAAGAATGCAGATGGTTCTATAGCTAGGCATAAGGCTCGCTTGGTTGCTAAGGGATTTAGTCAAGAGGAGGGTATTGATTATTATGAGACCTTCAGTCCGGTAGTTAAACCAACCACGGTTCGATTAATTCTTGCTCTTGCTGCTCAGTTTCAGTGGTCCTTACGGCAGCTTGATGTTAAAAAAGCATTCTTGCATGGGGTTCTTCAAGAGGAGGTTTATATGACACAACCTCAAGGCTTTGCGAGTAAGCATCATCCTTCTGACTTTGTTTGCAGACTCAAGAAGTCCTTGTATGGTTTAAAACAGGCTCCTCGTGCCTGGAACGAAAGGTTTACTAGCTTCTTACCAAGCTTGGGTTTTCAAGCTTCAAATGCAGATCCGTCTCTCTTTATTCAACATTCATCGCTTGGTACTGTGGTTTTGCTTCTTTATGTTGATGATATCATTCTTACTGGCAGTAATTCCTCTCTTATTACATCTGTAATTGGTGCTTTAACTCAGGAGTTTGATATGAAGGATTTGGGCCAGTTGACTTATTTTCTGGGGCTGCAAATTTCATATCAGTCTGCTGGCTTGTTTGTGTCTCAAACTAAGTATATCAAGGAACTGCTTGACAGGGGTGATTTGCAGGATTCAAAACCATGTCCTACTCCTTGTCTCCCATATCACAGACTGTTGAAAGATGATGGCAAACCTTATTCTCATCCAGAGCAGTATCGAAGCATTGTTGGTGCTCTGCAGTACCTCACTTTCACAAGGCCAGATATTGCCTTCTCAGTTAATCAAGCTTGTCAATTTATGCATAATCCCATGGAGTCTCATGTTGTGGCAGTTAAGAGAATCCTGCGGTATTTGAAAGAAACTCTTGATTTTGGCATTTGGTTTAAGCCTGGTCTTCTTCATCTGCACGCTTATAGTGATGCTGACTGGGCTGGGGATCCTAATGATCGCAGATCTGTTTCGGGATTTATTGTTTACTTAGGCTCTACTCCTATTTCTTGGGCTTCTAAGAAGCAACATACTGTCTCTCGTTCATCCACTGAGGCTGAATATAGGGCTTTGGCTATTGCTGCTGCTGAACTTGCATGGATCAGACAGTTGTTCTGTGATCTGCACGTCCCATTACATGTTCCTCCTTTAATTCATTGTGATAATATCTCTGCTATTGCTCTCTCTTCCAACCCGGTGTTTCATTCCCGAATGAAACATCTCCAAATTGATTATCATTTTGTCAGAGAACGAGTCATTCGAGGTGATTTACTTGTGCAACATGTCTCATCTGCGGAACAATTTGCTGACATTCTCACTAAGGGGCTGTCTATTCCTTTATTCCAGCATCATTGTTCCAATCTCATGCTTGGCTCCTCCAAGCATGAGATTGAGGGGGCATGTAAAGATATCAACGGTCCTCACTCTGCCACATGTCAGAAGATTGAAGAAGAGAGTTGTTGAAATATTGTTAAGACTGTTAGACAGTTTTTA